TGGATATTTTGTGCCTTTTCTTGCCTCTTTTTATGCATTTTTTAATACCAAAATTTTATAAAAATTTCTAATAAACAACCAAATGATTCTTATTCATATTCATGTCAGAACAACTGCTGCCAACTGTACTTCATCAAAATCAACAATGTTTCCTGTCAAAAAGTCATTCGGCATATTTTCCTCTTATACCAAAACAATAAAAAAAAACAAAAACAAAAGTAATCCACACTAACTCAAAAAAAAACAAAAACAAATTGTCGAAAGAAAAAATCAAGTAACAATGGAAATATATAGGATAGGCTGATGTAGGTGCTGAAATCGTCTGGCGCTTCATAAAACACAATACATATCGGTGACATTTTCATTCACCAAATAATAAAAGAAAACAAAACGAAGTAAAAAACATGAAATGACAAATTGAATTGCAATTCGTTCATGTCATAATGTTTATAAAAAAATATATATTCTCTTGTTGGTATTGTTGTTGTTTTTGTTGTTGTCAATGACAATCAGTGACAGTTGCACAAAACACGAGACAAATTCAAAGCAGTCAAAATATTATATATGCCACATATGCCACGTGCGTAAAAACTTGCGTTATCAACACGCGTTATTGCGTTCATACAACAACAATGAAACACAAGATACGTCAGTCTTTTATTTTATTTATTTATTTATATTTTTTTTATATGAAGTCAAAGTGTACGGCTTTTGTGTCAGCGGGAATTGATTGTGTTATACATCTTCAAGTGCATTCACAAATCTCAGGAGGTCGATGGTCAACATGCGTTAAAGTTTCATGATTTGTATCTAAATGACTTAAGTAACTTTACAAACAAATTTGACATCTAGTAAGGCAATAAAAAAGTTTGCAAAAATAAATGATTTAGTTCAGCCATTTATAGATAAAAATACATTTTGTAGGTTAATCACAGCCAATTAAAAAAGTTGAGTATTTTTATACCGACAATGTACAACAGGGCGTATGAGTGATTAATAATTCACAAATTGTTGAAATATTGCTAAAAGTTTAGTTAGAATATTTAAAAAAATAATAATACGAATTTTAATGAACTTAAATACTGAATTCTAAAAAATGAACAAAAAAAATATATTTTATTAAAAATTACAAAGTAAATTTACAGAAATATTTAAAAGTTTTTCTAATATAATATGTGTAAATAAAGGAATTACAAAGAGGACTGTATAACTATATCCTACAGACTATTATTTTGAAGGAATATTGTTTAAAAAAATTTATAAACAAATAAAAATTTTCAAAAAAAATTCAAAGAATGCTTATATTATAAGAAGTCGCTACTGGCGCGACATTCGAGGTAACCGTCAGGCTAAAGACCTGGTTCACACCTACAGTTATAGTTAGGTATCCTTCTTCAGCAGAACAGAGTTGAGGTTACTGGTAGAATATTTAACGGGTTACCATGGACTTAACAAAATGGGTCTGTCCAAAGAGATAGATTGTCGATTCTGCTTAGAAGCAGACGAGACTTCCAGTTAACTGTTTAGCCTTGATCTAAGTCAGAAGGAGGTCACTTGGTCGAGAACTATTCTCCCTTTCTGACATTAGCAGGTCCTCAACGGCCGACATTCTGGCTTTCATTCGGAAGGCGGAAGGTCTTCTGTTCGGTTAGGATCTGTTGCAGCACAAAAGATCAACCATGGTTGCAGACTGCAGTGCTTCACTCCGGTTGTAGCTGGTACCCCGTTTATTCCTATTTCTATATTATTCAATTCTAGTTTAATTGTCTTGTTGAATGATTAAAATTGAAATTATATGAAAAAGTGATTAAGTATAAAGCGTGAAACCACATTATATCTGTTGTCACTATATTCGACGTACTAAATGGCATTGACAATGAATTCAGGAACTTTGTTATAAATGCATGAAATGACTTAAATATCATTTACGGCATTTGGCAGCCAATCCCAAACTAACTTACAAAATTCAGAATTTATGTTTGACGTGTTAAAAAAAAACAAGTTATCTTACCTTTATCATAAAATTCTCTAGACAAATACAAATTGAAAGTGTGTTAATTTGTTAAATTTTGTTTGGTTTTTGTAATGCAAGAGATTTCTCTTCTATCTAAATGGAGCAAAAATACTTTTTATTACCAAATACCCATTGATTAAAAATATTACTTTTTACAGATCTATATTTGGTACATATGTCTAAATCGTTTGTTCGTAGAATTCCATAGCACTGCTTTAATCTAAATAAATCTATGAAAATTTACCGGAAATATTTAATTGTTTCTTCTCTCAATGCAATTTCTTACATTATGGTTAAAGAGTTATAGTTCTTCAATTTTTGAATCTTAAGAATCGATTTTTGCGGTTAGTAACTTTTCACTAAACACTTCGATTCTAGTTCTTCCCTAAACAGATTATGCTATTGTTAAGCTTAAGAAACTAAATATCGCAACTATAAACTCATACTGAAAATTTTTTTGACATATCTCTTTTGAAGAGCATCTACAGTATTTTATAAGTGTCCGAAATATTGGGAGAACGCTAATTCAAAATATTTTCAATTTTATGTATTATAAAATCTATTTCACTATTACACATCTATTTGAAAATGACGTCAGTAAGTAAAGCAGCCACAGTCAATGTAAAATAAGCAACCGGAACAATAAGTACTTATTGAAAAATTCAAATAGAAAATTACTGAAAATGTTTCAAATGCTGCATATGGCTTACAGATTCCAATTCTTTATCGATCTGTTATATGGTACTATAATCATAAAATATGTAACTTCATTGAAAACTAAATATTCATGTAGTATTATTCAAGTAATCATGAATTAATGATTACTATACTATTCCCTAAGTCAGGTGTAGTCAACCTAATAGGCTTCAACTTTGACGATACTTAATGTTATAACCGGTCACACTTTAGTTAAGCAATCTTTTGAAAAATATAATATTAATGCAAAATGAATGAAAACTTATGTTGAAATATATACCAATTTATTGTAGTTAACTTTAGAAATGATAATATGTTTCTTTTTCTCTTATTTTATTTATATTCGGAATTAAATGGAAAGATTTAAAAGATGATATTATATTTTTCTAACTGAAAAAATGTTATTGAACATGTTTATAAATATGCTTACCTATTTAGCTTATTTCAGAAAATTTT